TGCTGCTCCTTTACATTCTGGATTAGGCTCCCAGTGCCTGATGGGACAGAAATATTGTAGCAGGTGGTTCTGGGTACATGTTGTCAGCCTCCCTTAGTGCACTTCTCTCCTCCTTCCCTTCATCTGCTTAAAAACAACGGAAAACAATTTTTTTGCACCATTTTTTCCTGGGTATCTGTGTAGACTCCAAATCAGAGCAAGCATGGACCCCATTGAACTTCAAACTTCTGTGGCAAGCATTGCAAACACCTCACACATTTTGCTGTGGTATGTCCCAGAGCTAGCCAGGAGCCACCGGAGCGAGGAAGAATGCACACAGATGTATGAGAAACTGCTGACTGGAGCAATGGACATATGCTGGTGTCAGTTGATCATGTTGACAAAGTGGAACGCTGGTTCTGGTCCCGTGAGACACACACAGACTGGTGGGACCACATAATGATGCAGATATGGGATGACCAGCAGTGGCTGCAAAACTTTCACATGCGTAAGGCCACTTTAATTGAACTGTGCGATAGGGATGTAAAATCCCATTTAATTGGTTAACCAGTTAAACATTATGTTGGCTCCCCCACTGCAGTGGCTCCCCCACCGCAGACAGGGGCTGCTCCAGACTGGCCAGAGCAGTCCCTGCCTGTGGCAGCCCCCAGGCTCTCTGCAGACAGAGAGGGAGAAGCCCCTGCCTCAGGGTGCCTGGGCTCTGGATGCTGGAGCAGCCCCTGCCTGCAGGGTGCCCAGGTCTTCCTGGACAGGGGTTGCTCCGAATGACTGGAGCAGCCCCTGTCTGTGACGGGCCCCAGCAATTAATTGTTAACCAGAACTGGTAAGCATCATCCAAAACATGATTCTTACAGATTAACCAGTTAACCTTTCACGTCCCAACTATGTGCATTGCTTCTTCTCCCTCTTCCTCCCCCCAAGCACAGCAATACCACAATGAGATCTGCTCTGACAGTTAAGAAGCAAGTGCTATGTGCATTGCTTCTTCCCCCTCTTCCTTCCCCCAAGCACAGCAATACCAGAATTAAATCTGCTCTGACAGTTAAGAAGCAAGTGGCCATAGCCTTGTGGAAGCTTACAACACCAGACTGCTATCAGTTATAAAGTTGGGAATTAATTCAGAGTGGGTAAATCTACAGTGGGAACTGTTGTGATCCAAGTAGCCAAGGCAACCAATATCCTTCTGCTAGGAAGCACAGTGACTCTGTGGACACGCAGGAAAAATGGATTTGCCATTATGGGATTCCCCAACTGTGGTGAGGTGACAGATGGAATGCACATCCCTATCTTGGCACCTGACCTTTTTGCCAAAGAGTACATCAACTACAAAGGGTGCTTCTCAGTGGTGTTGCAGGCACTAGTGGATCACAAGGTCTGTTTCACTGACATTAATGTGGGATGGTCAGGAAAGGTGCATGACATGCACATGTTTAGAAACTCTGGTCTCTTCAGAAAGCTTTAAGGTGGAACTTTCTTCACAGACTGGAAAATTAACATTGGAGACATTGAAATGACAATAGTTATCCTTGGTGGCCCAGCCTACCCTTTGTGCTCATGGCTCATGAAGCCACACAGGTAGCCTGGGCAGCAGTAAGGAGCAGTTCAACTACAGGTTAAGCAAGTGCAGAATGGTGGTAGAATGTGGTTTTGGACATTTAAAGGGAAGGTTTTGAAGTTTATTGACTATGCTAGACCACAGCGAGAACATTCCCATTGCTGTGGCAGCTTGTTGTGTGCTCCATAATATCTGTAAAAGCAAGGGGGGGGATTTCTTGGGAAGGGGTGGATGGAGGCAAATCACCTAGCCACTAACTATGAGCAGCTAGACACCAGGGAAATAACAGAGCATATCGAGGGGTACTGTAAATCCAAGAAGCTTTGAAATCCAATTTTGTGAATGACTAGACAGTGATATGACAGTCATGTATACTGCTCTTAACAAGGTTAAATATATTGGCTGTAACCCCACCACCATCACACGCACATAACACAAGCAATAAAGATCCTGCTGTTCAGAAATCCATGCATTTGTATTTGGGAAACACGGGGCACAAAGACCAAAAAGGAGCTCAGGGAGGGAGCAAGAGCAAGTGGAGTATTACAATCCCCTTGTTCAGCACAGCAATCACAGCTGTGGCTGTGGGAATGACAGCTTTCTGTTCCGGGAGACATCCCAAAGAGGTGAGTGCAAGGCTGTCCTTGACTGCTCCCCAATCCCCCACAGTCTAGAGTGCCTCGGAGAGGATGCTATGGAAGTTGGTAGGAGGGCAGGTGGTTCAGCACGAGATGTTCCAGCATGTGCTCCAGATACTTCTCCTGTGCCTCTACCAGCTCTGTTTGCTGCCCCATGCACCTCAAGATTTCATCCTGGGTCTTGTGTTCATGTTCCCTGAGCACATTTCTCTCCTCATGCTCCATTCGTATTGCCGTCAGTATTGTTCTCCATGTAATTGTGCCCTGATGCTGCAGGCAGTTGAATTTGCTCATTAAACATGGCATCCTGAGTAAGTTTTGTCTGTCTTCTGGTCTGTAATAGCCAAACCACTGGAGGAACAGGGGGAGTGGGCAACATACAAACTGTTGTACAGGCTGTAACTAAAAGAGTGAAGGGCAGACTTTGGAGAAGATACATTATAGAATGCAGAAGCTAATCTTTTATTATGGAAGAAGTCAATCCTAAACAATAGGCATGTGTTATGTACAAGGTCAAAGTTATATTTTCAAGCAGTTAACAGGCAGGCACAACACAGAGATCTGAAGTCTGGACTCTGTTTGGGAGCAGGCATGGTAAGCAAAAGTTTGGTGTTCTTTTGTTTCCGCTCTCACAGCTAGGCATGCATCTGCGTTTGCAAAGGAAGGCCACGATCACATTGGGCTCAGGCATGGTGGCAGGGGCTCATGTGGTCACCATGTGTTCTCGTCTTTGCTGGGACAGTGCAACTTTCCCTTCCCATGTCGACCTGTTTTGGGTGGTGGAGGGAGGGAGGGGAAACTGGCCCGGGTGTGGTGGCAGAAGGACTCTCACAGTCTGCAAACCATGCTTCTTGTGGATGAGCAAATGGAGGTGTATTGTCTTAGTGTTCCCAATTACAAACCTTCCTTTGCTTCATGCAGGTTACCATGCATAATATCAGTCTTCTCTGAATCACTCAGAAAGATAAGGAGCTGATGCTGACTGAATGTGGCCAGAAACCTGGACCTTATGCTGCCATGCTTTGTGCTACAATGATGCCAGATCACTTACTGCTGGGTTGGTGTAGAAAGGTGTCCTACCATGTAGGACAGAACAAGGCAGGCCTCCTTAGGATCCTTGTGAGAAGGATGAAAGAGTACCTCTATGGCTACATCTACACCGTGGAACTATTTCAGGATACCTCTGGTATCCCAAAATAGCTATTCTGTATGTTAAGAGCAAGCCTGTTATATCAAAATATAACGGGCTCGCTAATCCTTTGTCCCTTTAAACCTCATTGCACAAGAGTTAAGGGGCGTTTCAGAATAGCGCTTTAGTTAATTTAAAAATAAGCTATTTCGAAATTACCTCAAAATAAACTACACAATTTGTGCTACGCAAATTGCGAAGCTTAATTTTGAGGTAAGGCTGCTGTGTAGATGCACCCTATGAGAGTTTTATGGAGCCGTGCAGGGAGGATTCCTGCTCCATCTCCACGCACATTAACAAGTGGTTCCAGGGAGCCCTTGATGTGTAGGCAGAGTGGCCACCACAGATAAAACATCATTCCCTTAGCCTACTTGTAGCATGGTTACAAATGTGAACGCACCAGAAGTGCCCTCCTCCTCATCAGCAGCAGTATGTCCTGAGAGGAGAGGATTGTCTCCAAAGTTAAAAAGAGAGGCCCTAGCTATGGGGGAGATCAGATACTCTGCGGCTGCGTCTAGACTGCATCCCTTTTTCGTAAAAGGGATGCAAATTAGACATATTGCAATTGCAAATGAAACGGGGATTTAAATCTTCCCCGCTTCATTAGCATAAAAATGGCTGCCACTTTTTTCTGGCTCGGAGCTTTGCCGGAAAAAAGTGCCAGTCTAGACGCGGATCTTTCGGAAAATAAAGCCTTTTCCAAAAGATCCCTTATCCCTCATTTTAAAAATTTAAAATGCAGTCTAGACACAGCCTGCTTGTCTACTAAGCAAAACTTCTACTGCTTGTCCTCCACCTTTTCATCTACAGTATCTTCCTTGTTGCCTGAGGCTCCCTGAAGAGTCAATTGGAAGATATCCACAGACAACTTTGGGACACTGGTCAGGTCCTCCCTTAGAATCTGATGCTGCTGTCTTCAGAAGCAGCATGTTTGCGGCTCAGAGCCAAACCTACCGTTTGCTTCCTTTGACTTCTGGTACACCTGCCTGAGGTCCTTTATTTTCGTGCGGCACAGCTGGGTGTCCCGGGTATATAACCTTTTTCCGCCATGCCCTCTGTGATTTTTGGCATAGGTATCAGCATTTTGTCTGCTGCTTGGGATTTCTGCCTGCAGAGATTCCTCTCCCCATGCAGCAGTCAGATCCAGGATTTCCTGAACACTCCATGCTGGAGCTCGTTCACAACCCTGGGCTTTCATGGTCAGGTGTGCTGCTGAGGTGTACTGCCTGCTCTGCTTGCCATGCTGGCCAAACAGGAAATTCTAATTTTCCAGGACTTTTCATAGCTCAAGAAAAGTGGAATTGAAAGTGCTGGCCAGAGCAATCACATCCGGGCACTGTGGGACACCTCCAGGATCCAAGAACATTGACATTCACATCTCTGTATCTGCACTATTCCAGTGCTGACTATGTAAGGTCAAATTTAGTGTTACTCTTCTTGTGAAGGAGTAGTTCAGAAATCAACTTTAAGAGCCCTTGAAGTTGGCAGAACAGGGTTGTTTGTGGAGACTCGTTTAGAAAAAACTAACCGAATGTGATTAAGTTCAGCCTAAACTCATAGGCTGTGTCTACACTGGCACCCCTTTCCGGAAAAGGGATGCTAATGTAGCACTTCGGAATAGGCAAATCCGCAGGGGATTTAAATATCCCCCGCGGTATTTGCATTCACATGGCTGCCGCTTTTTTCCGGCTTGGAGATAAGCCGGAGAAAAGCGCCAGTCTAGACGTGATTCTCCGGAAAATAAGCCCTTTTCCGGAGGATCTCTTATTCCTACTTCAAAGTAGGAATACTCCACTACTTCAAAGTAGGAATAAGAGATCCTCCGGAAAAGGCTTTATTTTCCGGAGAATCACGTCTAGACTGGCGCTTTTCTCCGGCTTATCTCCAAGCCGGAAAAAAGCGGCAGCCATGTGAATGCAAATACCGCGGGGGATATTTAAATCCCCTGCGGATTTGCCTATTCCAAAGTGCTACGTTAGCATCCCTTTTCCGGAAAGGGGTGCCAGTGTAGACGCAGCCATAGTGTATACCAGGCTTAGTTTATCCCATTATAGTTGTCGTGCTGTTTTAAATGGATTGTAATGTACCTTCAGATGCACTGTACAAAAATTTCTTTATCGGGCAGTTGTATTGTTCTTGCTACTATTTACCATATTTTTTCCTCCTTGCAGAGAGAAAATTCCCAGTTGGAGACTGATTCTAGAATTGCGAAGCACATTTTGAAACAAAATTGGATTTCCTTGTGAAATTTCTGAGCTGTTCCAATAAGTGTCCTTCCTACACGCTGACTCCTCTGGGTACACTCAGCCTCATTCAGACATGGCCTTTCAGAGATCAGAGGGAATGTCCATCATCCAAGCCTTGGCAATGACAGTGGCAGAGATCCCTGTGTTTCTTTATACAACGTTTGGGCAGGTAAAATAAAAAACCCACAGCTGGATTTTTGCAAAGCTATTTGTGGTTTCTTTACTGGGCTGTCTGCAGCAGTTGTTTTGGAGGGCAGTGAAGAGAAACAACAGAGTGGTGCTGGGGCAAGAGAAAAGGGGGATTTAACAGTTGCTATGAGGTGATAGCAATTATTTGAGGAACTGTGGAAGGAATAGAGGCTTTTAGAAGAGGTCAGGTGTCATCTGGGGAGGTTTTGGGAGCATCCTGCAGATAGGAGGGGCACTTGTTGAGGAAGTTTTGAAGGTAAGCTTGCACCTGTTGGGGGGGAGTCCACCTATCTTGGTCTACCACAAGGGTGGTCAGTTTTCACAGGGGGGCCTCTTCATGAATTTTGGCACATAGTTATGGGCCAGCTCTGAGCCCCCTGGAAGGGGAAGAGCCTCAGGCAGAAGGAGCAGGGCTGAGGGCTACAGAGAGAAAGATAGTGCGTGAGTGTAAAGGAGAGATGCTTGGGCGTGTGAGACAGACTGTGTGTGGCACATACCGGGAGAGTATGTGTGTGTGGCATGGAACCAATGTGGCACAGACTGTTTGTGTGTGTATGTGCTGGCTGCTGCTGGGTAAGTTTCTGAGAGAAGCCATGCTTTTTCTCTTGAAGACAGGGAAAGCTGTCCTGCTCTGTTGTCTCCACTCCTGCTCTGGAGAGATGGATTATGGAAGGGAAGTATATCTGTGTGTGAGAGAGAGCACAAGCACCGAAATCTTAGAAACCATGCATTGTCTCTCAAGGCAGGCACTCCTCAGAGTCACTCACCATCCATGCTTCAGACTGGAGCAGCTCCAGGCTGCAGGATAGAGCAAGGTTGGGGGAAGGGTAGCTGAATATACGCTGCTTGCTGTAAGCATGCAAGCTCTGCTAATCAGCTGGGCAGGCTGGAGAGATGTGCTTGACAGACCCAATTTGGCCCCAGGTCTGATTTTTGCCCACCCTTGGTCTACCACAAACTTTCTGTTAGCCTTGGACAAGTCACTTAGCCTCTCTGTGTCTCCAAGTCATTTAGCCTAACCTTGTCAGTTACCATCTGTAAAATGGGGATAACAACACTTTCCAATCTCATGGGGATGTGAGGATAAATTAATTATCAGTCATGAGGGGCTCAGCTACTGCGGTGTTGGGGGCCACATGACAATCAAACAGAGAGGGGAATTTAGCTGTGAGGAGGGGAAAGGTTGCAGGAAAAGTGAGTGTTTGGAAGCAAGTGGAAATGGTTCTGTATAGAAACTGCTTTGTGGATAACGTTTGGCAGATATTCTATGTTCCAAGAGTCAAAATTCTTATGGAAACTCCAAATTGTGATAACTTATTGGGCTGATCATAAGTGTACAGGCAGTCCCCGACTTACGCGGATCCGACTTATGTCGGATCCACACTTACGAACGGGGCTTTTCTCGCCCCGGAGCTCACGGGCGGCGGGTCGCCACCCGTGTCCTCCGGGGCGAGAAAAGCTTCTCCCGGTCTCCCTGGTCTGCTGGGGGGGAGGGGGTCCAGCTGCTGGCTTTGCTCTGGTGTCCCTGGTCTGCTGGGGGGGGTCCAGCGGCTTTGCTGGACCCCCCCCAGCAGATCAGGGGGACAGGAGCCAAGCCGGCGAACCCGCCCACCG